TACTTTTTTATTAGATTTAAATGAGAATTTGACTCTTAATATGACACAATGGAGAAAAATGATTCATGTATCCGACCCCATATAGTGTGATAAATGCTATCCCTAATTAATTTTAAGTGTACTAGTAGTCGAGGCCTTAATTTTCTCTTAAATGACCCTCAGTGGGCTAGTGACTAATTCCTAAACATGTTCAAATGAAGGTGTATGTGTGTATTCCTCAGTGGGGCGTGTGTGTGTATTCCTAGGGCTTAAATTAATTATTTCATTAAGTCTAATAGTAAAAACTTTAAAATTCATTATGAGGGTTTATCAGGATCTTGAAGACTTATGGTTTAAATTTCAAATCATTTAGATTTCAAATTGTCTCTAATATTTTTAAGGTTCTAATTATTAGGAATTTTTAATTAATTATTTAGTTTAATTTATTCATGTCATTTTTCCCCCAATTTTATTCTAATTTAACCCCTCTAAGATTAGGTTAACTCTTTCACTTAAAGTTAGGGTTTGATCTGATTGGCCCATTAGATCATATGTTATTCATTAGATCCATTGACCCTAAGTATGGGTCACTTTTTTCTATTGATTTAATGACTCACCTATGGTGTGTTTCCTAAGTAGACTTGGTTTCACCGAGGCCATCCTACTTAACCCTAGGTGCTAGTGCCCTCCATTATGAATATTTGACCATAGTCTAAGCTAATTGATTTAAGTGATCCAATAATTTGCCTTAGCTGTAATACTAGCCAATGGAGTGCCTTAGATGGTCTTAGTTAATATGGAGACATCTAGTGACTCTCACTTTTCTCTAATTATCCCTAATTAATTTTAAGTGTACTAGTAGTCGAGGCCTTAATTTTCTCTTAAATGACCCTCAGTGGGCTAGTGACTAATTCCTAAACATGTTCAAATGACATTAGACTTCTTCGTGGTTATACTTATATGTTAGTCTATCATCCTAGACTATCTAGTGGATCCCATACTCTTTAGACTCTAATTTTATCCTACTTGAGCCTAGATGATTTAGTTATTTACCCTATTCAGTAACCGGCCCTAGTTTGATTTGTGATCTATCTTTGGTAGTCTTAAATTGAGGATTCTAAGGTTGCTAAGTGACTAGATTAGCTTTGGTTAAAACCCTAAGGAGTTATGATGTGGTTTTCCTACCAATGGTGGAGTTTTTATATTATTGAATTATATGATCTTAGGCTAGCATAGTCCACATCAAGGTGAACTATGCCCATTTTAAAGTTCTCTTAAAATTCTTGATTACCTTATACATAAGAGCTAAGCACTATAGTAATGTAATAAAATGTGATAATGCTAATAAAAGCTAATAAAAATATGGTCATGCTAATAAAAGATAATGTTTCTTTTATGATGTAATTAATATACTCTAATGTATATTAGTGGCACTATGTGTGTGCATTTATGGAATTTATAAATCTCTCCAATAAATCTTGAATTTTAGGGGAACTTTGCTTTTGCTTTGGTAGTTGTAAATGCATCTTCTCATATACCACAACTTAGCTTAGTGTGATTTGCTATTGTGTGCGTGTTGCATTGAGTTGATGCATGATAGTAAATGTGGTACCATATCAATGGATTAGGAACATTGAAAAATTAAAATTTGATATAACAGTTGAAATATAGTGATTTGGGTAGCTTAAGGATCAACCTTTCAATGTTTGCATTGAAGGTGTATTGATATGTTTATACAATATTACCATCTTGTAATGATTTGTATATATTATGATTATATTTAAATTGATTTGGGGGTGGTGGTGGTGGTGTGGGACCCACGTGACATAATAAGAGCGACATAGGGAACTTTATGTGTGGCAGTGCAAATTATTATTGATGCTATACCATTTGACTCTATGATGCAATTTGAATGTTTACTAGCACATTTAATGAAAGATGCTTAGAGAGGAACTTTTAGTTGAGAAATTGGTACATATTGGCACTTTCAATTGCTTCATATTAGGAAGTTGCGTCTACTTAAGGGAGGTACAAAACCACAAGTGGTCGAGGATAAATTAGTTTGAGTAGAGAAGATATATGATGATATAAAATGCCATAAAGATGGAAATGTATTATTCACATCATTTTTATTTAAGGGTAAGATAGAATGTCAGTAATTAGGACAACAGAAGAAAGAGTTAGACAAAGATTAAATTATATGATCTCTTCAATTGAGTTTATAGAAGCCCTATGATACTAGTTTATTCCACTATCACATAGTTGGTAAATGCTTGAGTCTTTCCTTAGGCTAGTGCGTGGTGAAAAAACTTTTATATATTATGAGGCCAAACTTCCTTCATTAGTAAGTTACTCGCCTCAACTAGTAAACACTCTAAAGGAGAAGTATTAGAGGTTCTTGCTAGATTTGAAGGATAAACTTATGGAGTTTATTGTATAAATGGGCATAGTTGAATTGATCAATAATAATATAGTTACTATGTTGCAATATAGCATGAATAGAATTTGGGAAAATAAAGTTTGATGGAGAACCATCCAAGAAGCTCAAGTTTGGACCTTGAAAAAAAAAAAGTTCATGTTTTAAGATAATATTAACATTTATACAGTATGTGGGAAGTGACAAAAAAGTATTTCTTGGTGACATGTTAGTCTCTTATATTTAGTAAGATCAATGATTATAAAGAGGGAGCAAGTAGAGAAGTTAGAGTTTAGATATCAAGATTTAGAGTAGTTCTAGAGAAAGAGAATAGTTCCTTCAAAGATATACATTGAGAGTTTTACAAGTCGAGGTGAAGTAAAAACGACAACATCCAAGCCTACTAGGACTTACGAAAACAAGCTCTAGCTACATCTACACTTGTGCCAACTAAATTGTATGTGTTGACTCACCAAGAGGCAAAGAAAACCACTGATGATTGTTAGTTGAGGCACACTACTCTGATACAAATTATATGGTAAAGCATATTGTGGGCTCCAGATTTCCCATTGGAGCAAGACGATGATAATAGATAATTTTCAATTAAGGCTAATAGTTTGAAACTAAATGCTTAGAATATAGTAGCAACAAATTTAATTTAGGATTTTTAACTTTACCATTGTGAACTTAAAGTAATTGGGGGGGGG